GTTTAGGGTTTAGGGTTTTCCGTTAATGGGTTCAGGGTGTAGAGATCTTATACCAAACTATATAGAGTGAAACTCGCAGGTTTCGAGGTTTCGAGTTTTATAGACCCTAGGGTTTCAGGTTCAGGGATTTCAGACTTCCAGACCTCGGAAGTTGTCAATGCTGCAGTGTTTCAGACATCTGGTGGATTTCTGGCCTTGGGTTCCGGAAATCTGGAACTCTGCATGCATTCCTGATATTGATTCAAGCATCTTTTCCCCAGCTCGGCCTCCCCCCAAGTCAGAACAACAAGACATGAACACACGCATCCATCACACAGCAGCAATCCGTAAATTGGAAAGCAACCCCCGCGCTGTCGAGTCACACGACGCAACACATACATATATATATATATAATACACACATGCAATATATGCATACACCGACATACAGACATGCTCACACACATACGAGCAGGCCTGCATACATGCATACATACGCTCATGCATTCATGTGTTCATTCAATCAGTCATTCGTGCATCCGTCCATCCATCAATCCATCCATCNNCCCTAAACCCTACACCCTCAGCCCTCAACCATAAACCCTAAACCCTAAACCCTAAACCCGTCCGTCCATCCATCCATCCATCCACACCCAGAAGCCCACACTCGAACGCATTGCAAGTTTTATGTTGTTTGCTATTCGAGCCCTACCTTAAGAGCCCAAAACCCACTTTTTTGTAGGCTCTTATTATGAAACCCTAATATGGGGATTTATAGGGACCCTAGAAAGAAGTAGGTTTTGGGTTCTTAAGGTAAGCCTAAACCCCATAACCCCAAGCAGCTCGCTTCCTGTATGCAGCATAAAGTTTCAGCTTCATGAGCTTTGCCGGTTCTCCTGACCGAGCAGAAATTTGCGGTGCTTTCCCACGTAAGCTGCTTCCCGTGGCTAGCCCCTAAACCCTAAACCCCTAAACCCCTTAAACCCCTAAACCCTAAACCCTAAACCCTAAACGCCTAAACCCTAAACCCTTAAAAACTAAACCATCATTCCGGGTTCGGGGGTTTTGGATTTGTTGGAGCCAGGATTTACTGTAAGAGTTCGGAATGACTTGCCCGGAAAAGCTGCGGGGACATGCAGGAGCTTCGATATTTAGCCCTAAACCCTAAACCCTAAACCCCTAAACTCTAAATCCGAATCCCACCCTAATATAGTATATACCCTAAATAGTAGGAGCCTTATCATAAGGACCCCCAAAATAAGGTACCCTATCTTTTCGGAAACTCCCCTTTTTAGGAGTCGGGGTTTGTGGTTTTAAGGGCGGACGAAGGGGTTCAGATTCAAGGTCGGTTTTGGGGCGGGCTACGGGATTTCCATTCAGACCCCTCAAGCCTCTTAAGCCCTATTTAGGGTTCAGGGTTTAGGGTTTAGGGTTCAGGATTTCGGGTTTAGGGTTTAGGGTTTTGATTTGGGGTCCTAAACCATAAACCCCTTAAGCCTAAGCCCTAGACCCTGCACCCAAAAAAAACCCAGCCCAAAACTCTACACCCGTACATCCGCAGCCCTGAGCCCTAACCGCTAAACCCTAATGCCTTCAACCTTGCAAGGATTAGGGTTTAGGGTCTAGGGTCTTGGGTCTAGGGTTTAGGGGTTTAGGGGTTTAAGGTTTTGGTTTAGGGTTTAGGGTTTAGTATGGAAGACCCAGCCGTCGAGCCAAGTACCTGCTAGGGTTCCGTTAGGGTCTCTTTGACGGGTGCTACAATAGGGAATCCTAGTTTCCTTAAGTTATTAAGGGGTGGTATAATTGGATTCCGATAAGGGATCCTTATACTTAGGGTTTGGGCTTCAGGGTTTAGGGGTTTAAGGTTTAGGGTTTTATAAAGAGCGCTTCTTTACTTCGTCCTCCTCTTGCCTGATGGAGGCTGCTGCTCACCTTCCATGGAAGAGCACCCGGCGCCGCACCGCAGTTTTCTGAGGGATGCTGAAAGATGGATCCATAATCCTCGGAAGCTTTAGGGTTTAGGGTTTAGGGTTTAGGGTGGGGGGGGGAGGGCGTGATCTTTAAGCTGGGGGCACAGTATAACAGGGTGCTCACAACACTTTGTTTGCGATCTAGATCCAGGACTCTTAACTCTTAACCCTAAACCCTCAGTTTCTGACGCTCCAGTCAGCCTTGTATCTTCTGAATTTGCCATGTAGATCGTGCGATTCAATGGAAATGCAGGCATGCAAAACCAGGTGCATGTATGGTTCCATCGTGTTCTAGCATAAAAGATATGAACTTGGGCCCACTACCCTGAATCCCAGAAAGTTGGAACATGGATTTAGGATGATTTGTGCTAGGCATATGTTTTGCCTTAAGAGCATTCGGGTTATAATGTTCCAACTTTATGGCTTCCTAAAACCTACTTGGAGGGTCGGGGAACTTAGTAAAAGGTTATTTTATAGACTTATAAGTACTACAACCCCAATTAGGGTCCCTTTTAGGGTACTTATAAGTCTACTTACTACCTACTTACTAAGCATGACTGCTCGAGGAGCGGCTTCACGGCACCAATTTATCAGAGATCAAGCAGGGCACTGGCTTGCGGTCGTCGAGCAGATGCACATCATATGCAGTCTCAATGCAGATGTGTACAGCATGCGTTGGGCGACCCTCGGGGACATCGGGCATTTCATCCAGCAAATGCCGCGTCCGCCGCCGCCGCAGATTCAAGACCCGGCAAGGCCCGCGGCAAGGCAACAGCCGCCCCCCGTGTGATGGAATTAAGAGAAGGGCTCTGAGCAAAAGGAAGCGATGACAGTGCTGAGTATCGCCATCGTCTTCCATCCGACCGCGCCCTCGTCCTTGAACCTTGGCGTGTGCAGAAAAATTCGACTGAGTTCTCCCGACCCTCCAAGTAAACCCTAAGCCAAAACTTCGTAAGGTTTTCTTAGATTGCCGGCCTTGCTTCTTAGACGTGTTCGGATTGGTTTGGCATGTGCGGCCGGGTGACAGAGGCTGCTTGCAGAGAATGCCTCTCTGGCCATGCAGCTCAAGGAGAAGGAGACTTAGTGCCCCAATACCCAACCTTTAAACTTTTTGGGCTCTTCTAATGTAGTAGTAATCTGAAAGTTTAACCTTGATTTACCTGGCTTATTGGGGAGGTAAGGAGAAGGATCTCCCCCATAATGAGGGTCCATGTACCCAAGTGTATACTTTGGCCCCAAAGTACCCATATTAATATGGGAACTACTTTCTCAGGCCACAGCATATACTAGATGACCCTAAACCCTAAACCCTAAACCCTGAACCCTGAACCCTAAACCCTAAACCCTAAAACCCTAAACCCTAAACCCTAAACCCTACAACCCTGAATGCATGGACCCCCCCATATAGGTATGGGTGAGAGCTTGGAATGCTTGGGAGCCAGGCTGCGGGATGAGAAGGCTGCGTTAAATTAGTATAGGGGCCTCAAGAATTGCCGGTACTATTTTGGGGTTCCTTATTATACTTATAGTATAATTATAATCTTACCCAAAAGCGTTAAATAGTATAGGGGCCTCAATAATTACCTGTACGATTTTGTCTTACTGGCATCAAGGGCCTTTCTGCACGCCTTTTCACCAGAATACATAATTTTTGGGAAGCGTCCCGAATAGGGACACTACATTCCGAACTCAAGGCAGGTCAAGTACACTATTTGTTGGGGGGGGTTCCGTAGTATTATAATTATAGCATAATATACCCCTAAAGCCTTATTCTACGTATTCTGGCCCCCTATATTAATGCTAAGTCAAGGAGTAGTGTACTGTAATTAACCAGAAGAGGAATCTACAGCGAATAGGGTACGGTTTTCTCACTGTGGCAACTTAGAGTAACGCGAACTCCTTAAGAAGCTAATCCTAAACCTTAAAACCTAAACCCTAAAACCTAAACCCTAAATAGCCCTAACACCTAAACTCTAAACCTAAACCCTAAACCCTAAAACCTAAGCCTCAAACCCTAAACCCTAACACCTGAACCCTAAAGCCACCCCAGGCTCTGCAGTCGTCCCTAATGTTTTAGGGTAAGGTTTAAGGTTTAGGGTTTAGGGTTGAGAATTTAGGGTTTAGGGTTCAGGGTTTAGAGTTTTAGGGTAAGGGCCTTCATAATGGGAATAGGCTTTGAGGCAGCTTTATCCCGAAAACGGCAGCCTCTAAATCGAAAATGACCCCTCCACCCAAAACCCAAAATCTCATGCCCTTAGGCTAACCCTAAACCCTAAACCCATTAGGTGCACACGACGCCTACGAAGAGTGCCGCGTGAGAGGGGCCGGCCGCCTCAGTCGAATCGAAAGTTCAGGGTTTAGGGTTTAAGGTTTCGGGTGTACCTAAAACTACCAGAACCTGCTGCTTTGCTTTTAATTATCCCTATCAGTTGAAATATTGGGGTTTACAATGGGTTCTGGTAATTCAATCTACCTTAAGAACCCTAATAAGGGATTTATAAGGACCCTACAAAAAGGTAGGTTTTGGGTTCTTAAGGTAGAGTTTAGGCTTCAGAGTTCAGTGTTTGAGGTTTCGGGTTTAGGGTCTTAGGCTACAGAGTTGTCAGGGTTCCTTGTGAGGGTTGTAGACAGGTACTACAAGGGTGTTCGGGGTTATGGGTTGAGTGAAACCCTCAACAATAAACTCTAAATCCTAAACCCTAAACCCCTAAACCCTAAACCCCTAAACCCTAAACCGGGGTTTGGAGTGTATAAGGTTTGACAGGCCGATTGAAGCAATAGCCAGACACACCTGGGACATTCTCATGCTCATACCTTTGAGGCACTCTTAGCACTAACGTATCCCATATGTTCCAGCTTGACTGGTAAGGTGACTTTCTTAAACCTGTCAACAGCACGCCCAAAGAAAGGGTTCAAGACTACGGTGTCTTCAGTGATATTATTGCCGTTTTTGTGGTTGTCGGTCTCGTCGTTTGGCCACTCTTGCCTGGTAAACTGATCATACCAAGTGCTACCCTTGCTACTATGGATGTCGCAATGGTAGTACGATCTTGACTATGCTAGGCGTCAGAGCTACTGGTACCAGTACACCACTCTAGCACTGCTTGGCCTATTGCGCCCGTGGCTACGACGGTCCTTGCCACGGATCCGCCAGCGCTGCAACCACCGACGGACACTCCAAAAGCACCGTAGACCATAAACCCCAAAGCACCGTTTAGGGTTTAGGGTTCAGGGTTTGAAGGTAAGTAGACTGGGAGCCCCAGAAAGCAGGGCAGGGTTTCCTCTTCGAAGGCAAAGCAGCAGTATGACTATAACCACCTTGTCTCTCCAGTAGAGTTCTGATTCAGATACGAAGCCTCCACCTAGTAGTAGAGTAGGTTACCTTTAACCTTTTTGGTGTACTATAACCCCATATAATCACAATACACTCCCAAAGGTTAACGGCTTTGTTTAGTTTTCCAGGATAGTCGCCAAGTAGGTCAACAAACCATATAAGGACGGCTGTTGGAGCTCTGAACGGCCCATGTACCCCTGTATCATGTATCACATACTTTCCCTAACCCTCCAAGTACCTACTATATAGGACCCTAAGGGCTCTAGTACCCTATGTAGTAGGTACCTGGGGGGTTAGGGTTTGGCTACAAACTCTAAAGTTACCTCTATAATAATCCCTTCAAGGCCGAAGTATATACTACATATAGGAACATGAGCCTAGTAAGAATCCCGTACTGCATCTGAACAGCCTCTATAGAAGCAGATGAAACTCTTGAAGTAACCCCTGAAGGAACCCTTACCTAGGTCCCCCAGTAGTACCCTTTTGCCCTTTTTCTTTCTAGGTTCCCATAATAAAACCCAAGTAGTAGGAAAAAGGGTACCCTTATTACTTGGGGCCTACTGGGACCCTAAACCGTAAACCCTAAACCCTAAACCCTAAACCCTAAACCCTAAATCCTAAATCCTAAACCGTTACAGGAACCTTGAAAGGGCACATGTAAACCGACCATCGAGACTCCAATCCCTGAGGACTTGATGAAGCTCGGCAAAAGTGCCGGCTTGGAATCTGGCGTTGATATAGGCGTGGTTTAGGGTTAGAGGACTAGGTCTTTTTGGGGTTTTCAGAGTTTAAAGGCTTCGGAATCAGGGTTTGGGGTCCTAAACCCTAAGCCTTAAAGCGGGCTTTAAGGAGGTTTGGGGTTAGGTTAGATTACATTTTGGCACGGCCATTAGCAGCCGATCATTCCCGTTTGGGCTTCGGGAAATGGACAAATTGCGTCTTGATGAGGCCTCGATCTTCGTTGTTGCGGTTTAAGGTTTAGGGGTTTAGGGTGTAGTTCAGGGTTCAGGGATTGAGGGTTTAGTTTAGGGGCTTTGGGTTTTAGGGTTCAGGGGGTTTGTCGTTGAGGGTTTTGGGTTTAGGGTTTAAGGCTTCCTCTTAATGGTACTACTACGGCTAGGGTCGCCATTACCGCCATTGCTAGCGGTGCTGTTGCTCCTGCTCCTGCTGCTTGTCTCCTATGCACCACTCACTACCCGCTACTCGTGCCCCTGCAAATACTACTATGACTTTTATTCCTTCTAGTCTGTTACTACTACTACTACTACTACTACTACTACTACTACTACTGCTACTGCTACTGCTACTGCTATCGCTACTGCTACTGCTACTGCTACTGCTACTGCTACTGCTACTGCTACTGCTACTGCTA